ATTCTTGGACGGACCAGTCATTTCTGGGTTGGCGTTGGGCGGTTGGTTTGCTGACGTTGGGCGTGTGTGTTCGGGCTTTGGTGGGAAGGCGCTGGAACACAGAAAAAGAGGACTGAACTCGGTACATGTATCGTGGCGTTCCTCGAACTGTGGATGGGGTTACCGCGGTGTTGCAAAGTCTCGTCCGACAATTCCCGGCCAACCATCCGCACAAGATCAACCCGCGTGGTGATATTGAAACTTTTTCCGGCGAGATGAGTTCGATGTTCAACACACTGAATGGATTTGCCCGCAATTTCCGCCAAAATTCCAGCCCCGAATCGATCCGAGCGTTTGTTCAAGAATGGTTTGCTGACATTGAGCGCCAAATCCTCAATGTGGGTCGCAATTCGGACGCGGAAGTCATTTTCGCTGAAGAATTGACCATCAATTTCGAAGTCGTCCCACTGCGCCCCGATCGTGCGTCCGGCACTCTAAAGTCGAACAACCAATTCGTGTGGTCCCCGCAAGATCCCGGATGGTGCGTGTATTGGTGTCTGAATGAGTTTGCCAAGAAAAATGGTTTGCCCCAGTTGCCATCGAAAGAAGTGTTCGCCACCAACTGGCTCGGTCGAGATATCAATTCCGACGGTATTACCATTGAGGAATTGGAAACCAAGATTAAATCGAAACTCGATTGGGGTCAGGTACAACTGTGTGTCCATCGCTTCGATGAAAACGGCGATCTTTCCAAAGACAATAAAGCATACGTGACACACATTCCGAGAATAGCTGGAAAAGGTGGCAAATATTGCCACTTGATCCACCACGAGGAGCACATGATGTTGATTATCGGCAAAACCGACAGCAAGTTTTATTTTGAACAGATCAAGGCGTCGCAATTTGTTCCCATCGAAACTCGACCGCTCAAAACCGTCGCCACCGATATGTGGGATCGTTTGTACTTGATGTGCAATGACCAGATCCAACCGCTGACGGAACTATTGCAGATTCAAGGGGCGCGTGCCAATCGCAAGCTGGATGGCCGACAACTGAAGGTGTGGTGTCTAAGTCGATCACCGACAAATTACCGCCACGACCCGCCGACGCTGAAACGATCCAACATGATCGATACGGTCACGAGGAAACGACCAATTTTCAGT